TGGACAGTGGCTTGGGGGCTTTTATGAAAACTATTGGCAGCCACATCGCATAGTTTTAATAAAACCAGCAGTTCTACCAAAATTTCTTTTTTTTTATCCATTTTTTTTTTTGTCTTTTTCCTTTTTATTGGTACCAGGGATCGAACTCACGACTGCCTGCTTGCAGGGCAGACGCTTATGCCGCTGAGCTAAATCCCCAGCCCCCCCCACCAAAATTTCTAACAGTGAAGCTATTAATAAACCTTTTATATGTGAAAATAACAAATTAAACCTTATAATAAGGGTTTTTTGTAGTATAAGGGAGTAAAATCAATAGGATATCACTATATTATGCTGTTGCATTTTTATTTAATATTAGTATTGTATTAGAGAGCCATAAATTATTGTCCTGAAAGTTTGAAATGTTACATTGCTAATATATTAGAATACATGGTAAGATTGAAATAAGGAAAAGATTTTACTAGAGTTAATAAGATTTAAGTTAGAGCTTTTCCTTTGTCTATGACTTTTTATAAAAGTAGCAATTTTTAGGGGCTGGAGATTTAGGTCAGTGGCATAAGCACCTGCCTTGCTGCAAGTGCGTGGTCGTAAGTTCGATCCCCGGTACCGATTAAAAAAAAAAAAAAAAAAAGGCAATTTTGTTTCCCATTTCTGTGCTTACTTCGTGAGAGGCAGTCCTTATTGAAACTTGAAAAGAAAATTGTGAGTATGAAAGTATATTAGAGAGAAAGTAAATGTCTTTAGAAAATACAGTAGTTTTGGATCAATTAATTGTGATACTTGAAAGTCAGCCTTGTAATTCTTGAGACTATCTTTGGAATATGTTGTTTGTTTATTTCATTTTTTGAGGCAGAATCTCCCTAGGTAGTTCAGGCTGGCCTTGACTACTATGTAGCCTAGACTGGCCTCAAAACTAATAGCAGTCCTCCTGCCTTAGCCTCACACGTGCTGAGAATACAAGTGTACCACCATGCCCAGCTTGGTACATCTGTCTTACTGAGCGAATGACTTATTATTCTTCCCTCATATCTTAGATTGTTTTCCACTTCTTCTGAGCAAAGCTCTTACGGAAAGATCCATGTGTTTTCTCTCAACTGATCATTAATTGCCCATTGTAACTGTTTGTCATTTATCTCTTTTCCTTGCCCACCCCTTTCCTGAGGGTGAACATTATGGATTTGTTTTTTTTTTTTTTTCACAAAATACAGGAGAATTACCAAAATACATCTTCCTAAACCATTACTTTGATTGTCATATTCCAACAGTCTCCAGAAACCTAGTGGCCGCTGTTGTCAGCATGTCTGATCTCAGTGAGCCCCAACCCCTCTGCACTGCATACCCTCAATTTGGTTCTTCTTTGACCAAGCCCAGAGTTGCTGTACTTCATGGCACGTGATATCATCTGTTTGAGCAGTAACTTTGGCTATTTTCACCCAACTATGTTGAAGTCATGCTTTTGTATCAGGCTCCTAGCTATTAATTTCTCTATTCCTTCCTCCCCCTCTTTACCCTTGTCGGTCTCTCTCTGTGTCCATCGCTACCCCATGTCCTCTCCTCCACCTCCTGAGCCCAGGACCATTCTTCACACTGAGTTACCACCCTGTTCTGTTACCTTAAGACAAGTTCTTGCTTTTCAGTTGCCGGGGTGCATCCATCCATTTTCCTACACATTATTCAGATTTATTCTTTATAGCAGAGTAGTACTCCATTATGTATAAATACCACATTTTCTTTATCCATTCATTTATTGATGGATATATAGACCTCCTTATTTTCTAAAAACAGTGCTGACATGATGCCTCAGGGGAGTTGTTTGTATCATTGAAAGCTCTAAAAGATTTGCCACCACTGGCCTAGGTGTTTCTTAATCCCATCAAGTTGACATACCACAAGAAATAGAGATGCCACAATGTGAACTCAGCTTGGTATCAGAATTTGAGTCCTTAATGACCATGCAACACTTTGTGTCTAGTGGGAATAGTGTGTTAAAGTGCCAGTATCCTAAATTACAATTTTCCTCCCACCAATATTTTACTATGAAAATTTCCATACATAGAGAGTAGTTGAAAGAATGATACAGTGAGCACCCACATATGTATGCACTTTCTTGGTTCTCTTAATATTTTGTTGTGTTTGTCATGTATTTTTCCATTTTTGTGTTTGTTTTGTTTTGCTGCATTTCAGCATTGGTTGAAAATACACTTTTCTAAACATTACAGTATACTGACATTAATTAAAGTTCAGAGTTTTTTGTTTTCATTTTGGTAGTACTAGAGTTTGAACCTGGGACCTGCACAACTGAGTTACATCCTCAATCCTGTTTTATTTTTTATTTTGAGACAGGTTCTTGCTAATTGCCAAAACGGGGCACAAATTTGGAATCCTCCTGCCTCCACCTCTCAGAGTGCTGGGATTATAGGTGTGTACCACCTTGTCTGTATCTAGCTCACAAATTGAATATAATCATTACTCTTACCCTTTTCAGTTGTTCCATTTGAGTCTTCTTAATGTTAGTTGTTTTTAAAAATTCAATTAATTAAAATGTTTGCTACTAAGTGGGGTGTGGTGGTGCATGCCTGTAATCCCAGGCTGAGACAGGATTCCTTTGATTTGAAGACAAACCTAAGCTACATAGTAAAACCCTGTCAAAACCCCACAAACAAAATTTCCAAACCACCAACTAACTAGCAAACAAACCAACAAACCCACTGTCAAACAAAAATTCTAGCTACTAATAAAATGAAGAGCTGGGTGTGTGGCGTACCTGTAATCCCACATGGGTGGCTGACACAGAAAGATCACTTGTATGAGTCTCATATGAGCAGCTTAGTGAGATTTTTGTCTCAAAATGAAATAGGGAAACAAAAAAGGGCTGGGAATGTAGCTCTGTAAGAAGTCCTTGGTTCAGTCCTCAATCCCACCTCCACTCCCCTGCCATCAGGGATAAAGAATATAGAATTCATAGGTCATAGCTAATCCTCAGGTACTTGCTTAGTTTAAAATGAGATGTGTAAGTGCTCAGATTGACCTAAAAAGTTTAAAACATTAGTAGTTCTTTAAAATACTGATCATTGTTTTCGGATGTGAGATATGTATATTTAATGGAGTATATTTTGTTTATAATTTTAGTTACCAATCAGTGTGATAGATTTAATATCATCCAGACTTTAGATAAATCCTTGGGAGTTTGTCCTGTTCTTTATTACCTGCCTGTGACTCACTTATCTAAGAGCACAGATTGTCTAGATGACAGTACGTCTTATGCATTGTAATATCTTTTGACACTTCAGAAATGCTGCATCAAAAGAAAGGAAATTCCTGACTCCCTGCTGTTAATGTGTTTGTGTAGGTAACAGATGAACCTTATACTACAAGTTTTAACTCAGTGACTGAGTTATCTGTAGTTGTTGCTAGGTGATGGCAAGTGTTAGAGAGCAGTTTTATCCTATACTGATCCAAAGGGATTATCTGGAGAAAACAGGGAGAGGTGGTGATGTAAACTATGCCAGTTGCCTACAGGAGTGCTCTGAGGATGGCAGATAATATTCTCTTTTCTTTTTTCTCCCCTCCCCTCCCCTCCCCTCCCCTCCCCTCCCCTGTGATCCACATGCACTTTCCTAGCATGGAATAGTTACTAGTGTGTCAGCCTTATGTCTTTCTATTTGGAGCAAAAATTGTGGCAAACATACTTTTATATGAAAGGTCATTTTGTGTCTGATTCCATGGAATTCTCACAAAACTTTGAAGGAAGTAAGGATTATTGCCTGTTACCACCCCAAGAATTGTACATTTCTGTACTCCAGGTACTGTACATTTTCACAGTTGTGTCTTATACACACACACACACACACACACACACACACACACACACACTACCTTGAAATAAAACAAGAAAACAGCAGCTCATGTTAAATTGTGAAAGGTGCTGGGAATTATATTTGGTCTAAGGGTTGGAACAAGTGCTAATTATTAAAAGCAAAAAGGAAGACTAGTATTCATAGTATTTTGAAAGGGAAAGCAAAATGAGTTTATACTTGACTCTTACTAGAACAGAAAGGTAAGCTGAAAGGAAAGCTCACTGATTGTCATGTTTCTAATTGTATTCTAAAGCAAATGAATCAGTTTGCCAACAAGCAGTTAGTTTCAGGGAGTTGGGGATATTGTAAAAATAACCCATTTTTTTTAGGAAGTAGATTTTCAGTGTTAGATACATTACACTAAAATTCTTCAGTTTTGGAGGCCATAAAGAATAGGAAGCTGAGGAATAAGAGCCATAGGAAAATGGAAGAAAGTTATGATTGACAGATGAGGTAAAGTGATTTTCTTTGTTGAATAACTAGGTCCATAATCTTTGAAAGATAATGCTAAAAAGAAGCATTTTGTTGTTCTTTGTTTGTTTGAGACAAGGTCTTGCGGTGTAACCTGGCAATCCTGCCTAAGTCTCCCAAATGCTATGATTACAGGCATGCTGCACCACCTTGCCCAGCTTTGAAAAATTTAGTTTAGTAAGTACATATTTCTTAATACCATGATTTATGAAAGACGTAGCAGTTCTGTAGTCATACTTTATATTTCAAAGGGCTTAGTATTTAAAAGTGGTAACAGTTGCGTAAGACCTATTGCTCCCACTTCAGTACTAGGATTACTGATCTTCTAAGTGTTCAAAACTGAGACATGCAGACCAAAGCTAAGAAAGGTGATGAGGCTGAGAGGGCATCCAACATTTTGATCTTTGCCCTCTAAGGTCAGCCAGGACCCAGGAAATACTGCAACTGCTCTGAAAAGATCGTGAAACTCTGGTGACTCACCCAATCTCCCAAGCCAAAGCCTTGTCCTTGTAGAGGGCAGGAGCCAACCAGTATTCATTTTGCAAAAAAAGGGTCACTGAAAAGGAGACTGTCCCCCAAGGTTTTGTGACTGGGTTTTGGAGCACTGGAATCTCTGGAGATGGTTTCTAGATTCTTTCTGTTCTGAGCAAAGAATTGGTCAAGACAAGTGCAAATGGTAGCAAAGTTTTATTAAAGATAGGAAAAGAAACAGGTTGTACAGATCGAGTTTGGGCCAAGAGAAAGCAGGAAAAGAAGCACAGCCTACAGCATGAGAGTAGCCACCACTGCCGGAGAGCACATGGTAGAAACTCAGCGTGGACCGCCCTTTTTGTGTGACTCAAGTCTCAGACTGAGGTCGAGTGTAGTCCATCTTTTGGAAAACCTGCTCGAGTTCTTGGGAGAAGTCTGGCTGCATTGCTTTGGCACTTTTTTGTGCCTGTGTCTCCCAAGATTATATATGTATTCCTTTGATTTTTGTCATTAATAGGCCACATCTACTTCCCCAGCTAGCTTTGTCATGCCCTGGTCATCTGTCTCACTTTCAAAAAAAAGGCAGTATGTCCAAGCAAGACCACAATCTATCCTGGCAAATGACAGAACTGATAGAAGGAAAAAGTACAGGAGCAAAGACACTCTGAACATGGTCCCAAAGTAACCCTGAGGGCCTTAACTGACGGTGATAAAAATACCGTGGGGTTAGACTGATCGATGTTAGTTAGCATTGGCCTTACACACTCAGCAGAAAAGTATAACTATAAAATAAGAGTAATATTAGCAGAAAATTAATATTAAACAGAAAGCTAAGCTAACTATAAAAGAGGCTTCAGACTCTGCAACAGCCCCTCCCTACTGTTATTGTCCAGCTACACCTGCAAAACTGTGGCTTACAGTCACAAGAAGCCGTGAATCCCTGTACACAAACCTTTCCAAAAATGTATGCTTCAGGCTCTTAGTACAGTCCTATGATGTTATTTTAATGTACCTTCAAGTACACCTCAGGAAAAGATTTGGCTTCTTGTATTGATATGCCTATATAAGACAAAAATGCCAATATAAACATTGTAGCTAAGAATCCTTGTTACTTTCTGTTATCTACCTCATACTCTGTATATTTATATTATCTGGACCTAATCACTACAAAAGATCTTCAGGTCTACAAACTTAAGAGACAAGTTCCAGGTTCCCAACTTTACAGTAACATAATACCATTTATAGAGTACAGTGATACTTGGCTTACAAACTGAATTTGTTCCACAATTTTGGGAAAGATGTCCACATTTGTGTTTGTGTGGGAAAGAGCCACATTAGTGTTTGTCACCTGATAAAAAGTTGGCAAACAAAAACAAAATGTTGCCTGGAGATTGGTTTCTAGATTGCACTAAATTGTTCACAAACAAGTGTTCATGAACCGAGATACCACTGTTATTCCTTGACCATTGTTATAATTAAAATAGGATATTTGATTTCTTTGACAAACAAGGAAGAATCTCTATGCTCTAAAATACCTGTTGTATTTGGGTAACTACCTCAACACAAATAGAGGTTAATATTGTGCCAAATGCTACCTACTGTTTTCTGACTTCCATAACTTTTTGATACTAGTATTCACAAAGATTCCATCTTTTTTGGCACCTGCTTGTTTAACATGGTTTTAAGGTAAAACTTGTTAATATCTTGGTGCTCTTTTCTGTTTATTAAACAGTACAACTCATTCTTTAAATAAGTAAGGATAAGACTTCTGATCCCTGCCTAGGCAGTCACCTCCTCTACCCCCACCTCCTGAAACAGTTATGTGAAGATAGACCTTCAGCCCCTTTGCTTCAGTTAAGAACAAGGGGTTAAAGTCTGGGGGAAATGAGTTAGAACAAAAAAATAAAGGTAAGTGGAAAGCAGACAAGAAAATCATATCTTAGAAATGGTGTTTTTGAGAAGACTTGGAACTACTTTAGAACACAAAGTCAGCCGAGGTTATATTAGTGTTCTCTGGGTTTGATCCTCCGCTTTGCTTTCCAGGTAGTTTCATCATGTGTGTTTCAACTGACCTTAAATTCCCTCTGTCTCCTGGGCTGGCCTCAAACTTGCAGGGATCCTCCTGCCTCAACCTTCAGAATGCTGAGATTACAGGTGTCTTTTCTTCTAGAAAAAATATGTTAAATCCACAAGTTAATTTAGTTGCTAAGGGACAGAAACCTGGTTTTAAGATTAAGGAACAGATGGAGAAGTTCAAAGAATGTTTTAGGCAAAATATCGTGGATCACCCATCTTCTTCTTCTTCTTTTTTTTTTTTTTTAAAGACTAACCCTAAATTAGGCCTTTTATCTTTCTGTGAGCAGGTCATCCTTTTCCTCCTAAACCAAGACAAAGGCAGAACTTCCTGTAGATTCACAAATATCACAGATTTTCCACACACAAAGCACATAAATATTTCACTTGTCACACTGTAACACCTCTCTTGAAGGCCTGCACTCTTACTTCCTCGAGTATGTCCTTTTAAAATTCTGCCTGATAAATCCCTTTACACCTTGAGGAGCAAAAGAAAAAAAAAGGTATGTACTTCATTCAAATAGGTTAATTCTGAGCAAGCTTTGTATCAAGTATAGATTTGAGTAATGTGGAGGATCATTATCCTGCTATAACTAGACATGTGATATGTGTACTTGCCTGCATCCCTTCATACTTCTGATAAATCTGCCTTGAAACTAAATTTCCTACAATTGGAAGGACTGCTTCCTACATTTTATTAAAAATTATATTTTATCTAAGCAAAAATGAATATAACAGTAGTGCTTAATTCTCCGTCTTGTAGCTTGTCCTAAAGTAGAATTGTGAAATTTGAAACTTTAGTGAGATTATTTCTCATTTCTTTTGGAAAAATAGTACTCAATTACAATAGTATGTAGTATGTGTTATTCTATATAATTCTAATGAGCAAGAAATCTAAGAAGTAGCACTTGATTTTAAGTGACTGTCCTGCCCAGAAGGAATTTGGTATTAGTTCTGAACCTTTAATAATTCAGTTTTGATTCATAAAGCAACACTACAGTAATGTCATACTTAATATTATAATGCATTTTATAAGGGAAATTATCTTGACTGTGAGATAATGTCGTCAGTTTTATGTCAGTTTTAGATATGAAGAATATAACCAGCCTTTGAAGCTTACTGAAAGCTCTGTTATATTGTCAATCTTCATTTTGGATACTGCACATTAACTTAATGAGATGAGGAAATCTAGAAAGTGGGGACTTTCAGGGAACAACCCATGGGTCTAACATGTCTTCAATGTGATTACATTCTCTACTGATGGATCTGTAGCACTTAGTTCTCCATATGTTGCTATTAAAAGCAGCAAACATTTTTTGAGCATTTACTATGTACAAGTCTCAGGATTTTACATGAATAAGTAGCCCTATGGTGGTTAACTGCTGTAAATTGTGTTTTAGAGGTAAAAGGGCACAGAAGTTGAAGGATTTCTCTTAGAGTCACAGTTTCAAGTATAAAGCAGGCCTTTGAACTTATTCCTGTTGAAAACCTAGGTGGTTTTTCTAATGGTTCGTAGCATAGTTTTAAATTTTGAAGACAGTTAAAATTTCTAACAGCTATTCAAACTAATGATTGCTTTATCTTTTAAAATATGTTTTTTCTTAGGCAATTACTTAGCATCTTTAGATTCTTACCAAGGAGAACACTTACAATTATCAGCAAAACTGGAGATACTGCATGAAACATAAGTTTCTGTTACTTAATATAGTGAAAGGTAGTTTGTTTCCCTGCAATGATGAAGATTGAATTCAGGGTATTTATTACACATGATAGACAATCACTCTACCACTGAGTTATACACCCCAGCCTGTAGAAGATATGTTTAATTTTAAATTGTGCTCCTAGTCTACAAGATGTATAATATAATGTAGTAGATATTTTCTGGGTGTCCTGTGTGTGGGGATGGAACAGCGTAGCTTGGAATCCTATTAGGAGGGAACATGATCTTTTATTCTTCAAGACAGTCCTACTTCTTTCTTGTAGAGTTTGTAGGCTTCAGCTTTGGGTTGACACAGAAGTCAGGTCATCACAAAGCGAGCAGCCTGTGTGTAGGCTGCTTAACTTGAGTTGGCATGAAGCATTAGTGTACCTGTTCTACAAAACTTCCTTAGAAATACAGAGATTTTTCCTTATTGTTCTTAAATTTGCCCTCATTTTATAAATAATTCACAAACTTTTGTACGTAAGTGTCTCTCTTCTAGATAAACCAGTGTAATTTTTATCAGATAAAGCTTTTGGATTAGTTTTTTGCTTTGGCTACCAGGAAGATCAAGGCCAAGTTGGTGTATACTAGAAAGGACGGTTACGTTGTTCTCTCAAGGCTTCCTAACTATCCAGCCACCCATCCATCTATGTATTTATTTATTTTCATATTATTTTTTGAAGATAAGGTCTCACTCTGCACTTCAGCTGGCTGTAAACTCACTGTGTAGTTCAGATTGGTTTCAAACTCATAGCAGTCTTCCTGCCTCAGCCTCCCGAGTGCTGGGATTACAGGCATGTGCCACCATGCCCAGCTAACCTTTGAGTTATTAAAAACTTTTAGGATCTATTGAAATCTCTGGACTCATAACAATAATTTAAAGAGATTTTTGCATTCTCTTAAACATACCCAGAACCGTTAGGGTTAAGAATCCCTGCATTGGCCAGATGTGGTGGCACTTGCTTGCAATCCCAGTACTCTCGATGCTGAAACAGGAGGATCACTGTGATTGCAGGCCATTCTGGGCTACATGGTATAGTGAGGCCAGCCTGAACTATATAAGGAAATTCTGTCTCAAAAGAAAGAGAAAATTCCACAATTGGCTGAGCATGGTGACACATACCTGTAATATTAGCATTCTGGGAACCAGTAGCAAGAAACCATAAGTTCAGCTCCAGTCAGGGCAACTGAGAGACTTAGTGAGATCCTGTCTTAAAAGTAAAAAATGAAACCAGGGCTGGAAACCTAACTCAGGGCAAAGACCCTGGATTTAGTCCTTAGTACTGTCTTTTTTTAAAAAAATTCCCATTTTGGATCATTTTTACATTGTATTTCAGCTATTCTGTTCACATGAATATATTTTTCTAAATTTCCCTAACTATAGAATCAGGTTATAGGTAGATAAGTATTTAGGTTGATTTGGGGGTGGTCAAGATCCTGAGGTGTAGTTTATTCAGGCTAGTATTGACCTATGTAGCTCAGTCTGATCTGAGTGATGAGATTACAGAGGTGCACTGCTATGTGTGACTTCTTGCTTTCTTTTTTTGAGATAGGTCCTGCTTCATTGCTCATGCTAGGCACAAACTCCTGGGACTCAAATAATCTCCCTTTGTCTGTTTCCCAAGTGCTGGGATTACACATTGCTCTTAGCTTTAAAAAAATAAAATAAAAGTGTGTGTGTGTGTGTGTGTGTGTGTGTGTGTGTGTGTGTGTGTGTGTGTATTGGCAGGGTGCTGGGGAAATGAATCCAAGATCTTGCACACACTAACTAGTATTCTATCACTGAACTATATCACCTTGCAAAATGTTTTTATTTATCACAAGAATTCTTTTGGCCTTCATGATAATGAAATAGGTGAACTAATACATAGTTTCTGCCTGATTTTTTTCTTCAGAAAAAGCAGCCTGAAACTTTTGTGACTCTCTGTACAAATAACAAATTACTTCTAAAAGAGGAGTAATTCTGCTCTAAACACAGTTGTGAATAGGTGTTTAATAAAGTTCGTATGTGTGGCTCTTGTGTATCTCTTCCTCGTGGTTCTCAGTGAAGTCTCACTAAAGCTATAAAAAAGAAATTTGGAAATTCCCTCTGGGGCTCCAGCTTTAAATCTGGTTCTCAGCTGGGTGTAGTGATACATGCCTGTAATTCCAAAATGCAGGAGGATCATTGAGAATTCAAGGCCAGTTTGGACTATATAGTGAGTTCAAGGTCAGTCAGAAGTAAACAGTGAGACCCTATCTCAAAAAAAGAAAAGAAAAAAAAAAAGAGGTGCCCATATAAGGGATGGGCCATAGGCCTCTGCCCATCAGGGTTGTTGTTTATGCTGTTTCTAGCAGAGTTCCTGGGTTGGAAGTTGGTACTAGACTTTGTCGTCAAGCCTCCATGAAAGGAGGGGGTGGGCTATCTTTAATTGGGGAACTTGGCAGGATAAGATGCTTCCTTGTACTTGCCTTGGAGGTTTCTTACTCTTTTTAATGCTGCTTTTATGTAGTGGGGGAGGAACTTCAAGATCTGACCTATAAGAATATTCTGGAAACATAGTGAGAGGAGGAAAATCACCCTCATGCTAAGAACAGATGTTTAGAATAGACGTGGCCTTCACCTCTTCTTCCTTTCTCCCTCTGTAAAGATAATTTGTAGTACATTTTATCTATTCAGGGAGACTTGAGTACCAGCTGTTAGGTATATTTAAAGAAGTAGGGGAAAGATTTCCTTAAGTAGACCTTATAAAAATCTATTATGTGTTCGAGTAGAAACCTAAGAATGCTATGGACATACAGGCAAAATTAATTACATTAACTTATAAATAAAATGTAGCTTTACATGGGATTTTTCAAGATCAAAATGTATTAAGCCTTGATTTTAACTCCATAAAGTGGGGGAGTTTCCCACCTGTAACTCGCAAGTGAAAACTGGATGAGCTTGACAGTAAAATTGTGTGCTGTGCTTCCTGCCTCTGCATTAGTTACAGCTAAGGTTCCTCATGTGAGAGCTGTCTCAGCCTCTCTGATCCCAGCTTTCCTGGGTGTTAGGAAAACGTTGGCCTTGTTTATTCCTCCGTCTGGTACTATAGTACTGCTGTGCTGCCAGAATGCAGGAAGGGAGTCCTGGCAAGTATGGTAAACTCTTGGCAGTCACCTCCTGGAAGTCCGTATAGTTTCTGTCCCAGTGCTGCCCAGACATAGCGTCTTTTTTTTTTTTTTTTTTTTTTTTTTTTTTTTTTTTTTTTTGGCCTTTTTCTTTTCTTTTCTTTCTTTTTTTTTAAATCAGTACCAGGGATCGAACTCATGACCGCACACTTGGAAGGCAGGCACTTATGGCACTGAGCTAAATCCCCAGCCCCTCAGACATAGCTTCTTGTGTGAGGGTGTTTATATCTCTGTCAACTGAAGAATGCTGTTAAAATCTTTCCTTCATTTTCCTATCTATATCCACTGAGCTGGCATCCAGGGTAGAATAGGTCATAGAGGGCACCTAGTGGTCCCAGTGTGATTCAGCTCCTGTGGACTTTCCAATAGCAGTGTGTCAGGTGATACTCTTTGCTAGGTGCATGTATCTGGGTGCAGGCTATTGTGGCAGTCTGTTGTGCCAGAGAATTGAGAGGAGAGGAGCAGTCAGTCCCAGGGCCTGCAAGCCCTACTTTCTGTCCAGCTGCATAAGAGGTGCCCCACCAGCACCACCCCTTTTTCAGCCTGTGAATAAAGATAGGTAATATTATAGAGGAATATAACACAAAAACTTTTAAAGGTTCTTGTCTGTCACAGTCTTGTCAGTATTGATAGATTATTTGGGAAGAGTTAAAAAAAAAAAAAGACTTTCACTTTTTACAGTATACACAATTTTAATAACAAAACTTTCCTGTACACTGTACTTAATGTTACCCACCCTTGACATCCTCCAAATAGTATTTTCTCCCCCCCAACCCATCTGTTCCCCCCTCCCCCCATGGCTCTTGAAGGCGATTGAACACAATATGTTTGGACTGTACTTGGAATTTCAAGTCTCAAGTGTTGAGGTTTACCAAACATTCCATATATTAGACTTTTTTTTTATCAAGGAAGAAAATGTTAGTTGAAGGAGTTGCAGATGTTTCCAGTTGTTCACAATAGCAGGAAGAAAGCTTAAACAGTCATTTTCTGTTTATTTTTGGCCAGATATTCAAGTATTATGAATTTGCCCAAGATTAGAAATTGTTAATTATACATGGATGACCTTATCTTCTTTTTCTTTTTCCTTTTCTAGCTCAAGCACTTTAACCAATAGGATACAAAAAGAAAACAGACTTTCCAGATAGGTCTGTCACTGTATTGCTGTATTACGAACATGATCATATAAGTCAGCTGTTAGAAATATTCTTTAAAGAAGAATTTTTTTTACTATTTATACTTCAGAGAGAGAGAGAGAGAGAGAGAGAGAGAGAGAGAGAGAGAGAGAGAAGAAATAGAGAATGTATAGCTATTCTCCCCTGATAGCTATGTGTAGGAAGTATGCTTTAAGAAAATGATACTTATGTTCTGTATTTTGTAATTCAGACCTAGTGCTACATAGGACTCATTTTTATTGGGAAGATGGAGTCTAGCTCTTGATGACTAGCATTAGAATAAGCAGATGGATTTTAATAATTAGTGGAGTTGGGAAGTTCAGTAAATCTCATTCATTGAATTGGTACAGAAATTAACTAAGGCACATTAAGAAATGACATGTGTTAGTACAGATTTTTGGCTTAAAAATTAGTATCTTTGCTTTTTGATGCTGGTAGTAAGGCAGAATTGTTCGTGGATTTGCAAATTTATAAGCCCACTATCCAGAAAGATGAGAAATCCCTCACAAGCTATAGAAAAGGGTAGAAACAACTGCCAACTATTTCTTGGTTCCCAGGTAGACATGCTATGTATGATAGTCTTCTTTAGCTCACAGTGTTCCCAGGAAAATGGTTATTTCTCTGCTTCTTGATAGTCATTTTCCTCTAACCTTGAAAATATGGATGGTGATGACAAAAAGGATAAAACCCTACCAAGAAACAAAAAAACCCTGACATGGTAGCCAGGATCTGCAGTGCTCTGTGATGCTTTTCCACCCTGGCCAGTTGGTAAAGAGAGCACAGATGACTAACAATCTCATTTTAAAACCTGTGCTGATATACAAATAGGCAACAATCAAATGGAATCCTGCCTTCTAGAGGCAGTTAAAAAGGTAGTTTGTGCTTTAAATAAGAAAGGAATATATCTGTTTGGTACTGTCATTCACTTTCCTCAGTAGGCATTATGAAAAATGTGGAGGGTTACAAAAATCAGTTATTTTTCAACTGAAAAGTATGCCTCAGTGGCTTTGGCAGTGCTGTTCCCCCTGAATGACTAAATTCCACACATGAAGGGTCTTGCCAATTGATGGGCTATTTTACTAACTGTCTTTTAGGATTAATGTAGAGATTCCCATTTTATATTTCTTACCCTTCTACTCATAGTTTGAAAGCATTTTGGTGTGGTTTGAAATGATAGAAATATTCCTCCACTACCCTTCAGGGCTCACAGAACCTTATATGCTTAAAGTGGTATTGTGAAACAGCTGTGTCTCACCTGACAAATGACTGGCCACCCTGGTAAATGGGTTGGTGAGTTTTAACCCACGGAGTTCTCACTAGTAGTAGGGGCTTCTGATCCTCGCCCTCTGTGGGGAAGTATTGCACTGCATGCTCTCTGTGCTGGAAAATCTGCTGCTGCCCTAGCATGCCCAAAGTCTCTATAACATGAGATGAGATGGCATCACCTAAATCAAGTAATTGAACTGAGCTGAGGCTCTGCCAAACTAGTCTGCCTACATTTAAAAAATGTAGAGCATATTTTCATTATACTGAGACACATTATCTTTGAAATATAGGTACCCTTTACAGTATTAAAGGAGAAATTCATAATTAGATCTTAAGGGCTAAACTATAGTCGTAACATGTTTTCTTGTTCACAGTTCAATCTTGTGAAGAAAATATGCCTTGAGTGAAGGGGAGATTGACATACATGTTAAGGAAAAGTCTCTGTCTCTTTCCTCCCTCTCTCCTCTGAGGATTTTTATACCTTCTCATATACAATGACAGTTGCAAAAAAGCCCCATCTTTTCCCCTAAAGTGAAGGTAGTGCTCTAATTTTAGTTTTTTACATAGACAGAACCTTCTTAATAGAAAAATTTTATGAATTGGTAACTTACATTAAAGTCCCAAATATGTCATAGTTTTCCCATAAAAATCATAGAAGAAATTGAATACTTATGGTTCTTTTCTGCATGAAAATGTGGCATTGTTACCACTTATTATTATGGGATGTTTATATTTACACTGGAGAACCTCCCCCTCTTCATATTTCAACACAGGTCCCAAAGCCTTGCCCTGTTTGTGCAGATTGTGTTATGATCATTGTGTGCAGCTTAGTAACTTCAACAAACCAGAGTCAGGTTTCAAAAAGCTTTCTTTGCTTTTCATCCTGTTACCTTTTTGCTGCCTTCCATTTACTGCTTTGTAGCTACATAGGCATGTTGAATGTTCTACCATAAGATTCACTTCAGTAATGTATTCTTTCTGTCTCTTAGAAGGAACCACGCAAAGAATGGGTATCCTTATTGAAAGGTCAAAATTTAGCATGTAATACTTAGAAAATGATTTTTTTCATGGTTCCTTTATACTGTAACAATAATCAGGATTGTGCCTGTTGGTAGCCAGTTATTTTTAATTGGGCTCTTTTAAGTTAAACATTTAAAAATCAGGAAAAGGCAGCGGAAAGCGATTTAACTGACCCCTTTGTCAGGCATCCTTTGATGATGGATTGTGACAGAGATTGAGAAGGAGGAGAGTTTGCAAACTGAAAGGAAGATGTCAGTATTGTTAAACTGACTCAGTTTATCTCTTTTCTCACCGCAAGTAAGTTCTAATTTTTCCACATATTAATGTAAATATAGGAGTTAGTAAATTAATTAGTAAAATGGTAATTTAATACTAGTTTAAAATAGGATAAATGCCACAGAAATCAGCATTTCTATTACATGTCAAATTAGAGATTTATGATAAGAAATTATTATTTAGTATTGATTTTAATGAGGCCCTTTTTTTTTTACAATCACCTGGATTCATTGTTTAAATATATTAAATAGTCCCTCAGCTTTAGAGTTATATAAAGACTGCTGATTTCATGATGTGGACTTTAATAATATCTACTAACCAGGCAAAAATTCTGGAGGAAGGGTGTTTAATATTTGCCGGTCAATACATGTAATTCTGCTTCTTACACTGGCAGTATTGTAGATTTGAGTAAATACCATATTATACAAGAGAACTTTGCAGCAAGCCAGTGTGTTACATGAGATGGAGAGCAGTGATCAAACAGGTATTGATCTTTATCTGTTTCTGTTCAGTAGCTTCTTTCCCAGCTATTTTCAGTAGAAAATAATAGCAAATGGAGACCTTAGTGTAAATGTTTACACACAATAGTATATAATTACATACATTAAATGTCTTACTTTGAAGCATTTTAGACTTTACAACAAGAGTGCAAGTTAATGTGAGCAATGCTTCATTAAACACTTAAAATATGGTTTCATTAAAAAATTAAAAATACTTCAACACTTCAAAAACTAAGTCTCCACTTGGTTTGGAAAATTAGGCTTAATGTCACCATTGGTAAAAATTAGATATGTATTTAGCCCCCTACTATGTAAAATAGGTTACTTATCTGATGTGATTTTTTTGATGATGGGTAGATATTATACTTCACATTCTTTGTATGGCAGCTGCTGGCACTTGCACTGTCCATAACCATTAATGATGATGAAAGGTCCTTCATGGGTGGGTTCATACTCATTATACGGTCCTTGGTCTGACATATTTGACATATGGAGTCGTGTTTGGGATCGGAGCTGCCTGTGGTTCTGAATCATTGAGCACTGCCTAATTCTTCTTAAAGTAGGAGGGCAGCACTTCCTGGAGATGAACACTATAAAAATAATAAAAAAGAAAGAAAACAATAAAGCCATTGTTCCTGTAATTACCCGCTGAGTAAAGATGGCATTGTCTGGTTCAGGAAAGTGTTCCTCTGTAGTAACTGCTACGCCTGCAGTAGTTGGGATTTCTTTGTCACCGACATGGTAACTTGATGAGCTTATTCTTTTTGTATATTCAGTGGTTGGATCTCTGTAAGTTGTAGCCATGGGAGTGACAGTGGTTGATAAGTTCCAGCAGAGTTGAAATCCATGGACTGCATCTAGGATATCCTCTCCTTGGGTGTGGTCAGGGCTGTGACATAGGATGGAATGCTCCCACCGACCTTGGAAACTGCCCAGCCAGGAGGCAAGAGCACATATTCGGGGGCTGCATTCCCACAGATTGCCAGAGAGGCCAACGGTTGTGAGAGATTTCAGGGTGTTTAAAATCTTAGAATCAAGACTGTTTAACTTGTTGTTATCCATGAGGAGTATTTTAAGATTAGGCATCGTTTCAAATACTGTCAAGTCGATGGCTTTGATTTCATTTCCAGTCAGGTCTAGCTTTTCTAAAGTGCTCCAGGTCCATTCCATCCCACATGTCAAGTTGCTAATTTTGTTCCATTGTAAGAAGAGCGTGTGCAGACTGCTTAGCCGGAGGAAATGAGCAAAATTAATCTTCGTCAGCTGGTTGTGCTCTAGGTGAAGCTCTCTCAGTTTGATTAATCCTGCAAATCCATTGCGAGCCAAACTTCTCAAACGGTTTGTGCTCAAATCCAGAAACTCCAGGCTACGACAGTCCCAGAACAAGCGTACTGGGATAGTCCGCAGGGAGTTGGAACGTAAATGCAAGGTCTGCAGCTTCCGAAGGCCATAGAAGAGTTCTGGATGCAGAGATGACAGCTGATTAAAAGACAGGTCCAAATTTTGCAGGTTAATCAGTTGGGTAAAAGTTGTGTTTGGCAAGTAAAATATTTTGTTGGAACTTAAGATTAATTCCTTAAGTTTATATAGTCCTTGGAAAGCATCTTCTTTTACTGTTGAAATTTGATTGTGATCTAAGTGGAGCCAGGTAAGTTGACTGAAGCTGGCAAATTGATCTCTTTCAAGCTCTGTGATGTGATTGTGCCTCAGGGACAGGCCCAGAGAGCCCTTGTCTGTGGTGTTTGGCACTGAGTGGAAGCCCTGAGAGTCGCAGTAGAATAGCAGCTTCTCGCAGCGGCATTTGGGTGGACACGCCATACCCAGGGCAGGCAGCATTTTTAAAACCATACTCATTGCATATATTGCTGCCAGCATAGGGGCCCCTAATGGCCACTTGAAATGTAAGCCTGCAGAATATAATTTAAGGAAAACAAGAAGATAGGATGTTTTTCAGAAGAACAATATGGGCTATTAAAAAACACAACATAACATTATGGCTAAATATTTCACTGCAATGTAACTTCATTTACTGCAGAAAAATTAACCTTGTTATCTCTGGAGCACAACTCAAACCATTTAAAAAGAAGATAAAGCATATCCCTGTCATCAGCAATATATGCCTTTACCTAAACCTTTAAACCCAAAAATGAGACAGTGATTTCCCTCATAAAGTGTGAATTCTGTGGCTTATTTTTAAGCGTGATTCCTTGTTGACTGTATAAAACATATAAATGCATGGACTTACCCATTCTTCTGAGCACATTGGAGGCTGCATTCAGTCGAGGTTGTCAGACTCAACGCAGTGAGTCTGTAAAAGGCTCTAATATGCAGGAGCCTTTGACCAGTTTTCTGTTCTGTTTCTCCAGCTTTCCTAGTAAAATTGAATCCGTCAGAGTGAGTTGTTTTTTCCTTAGGATATTCCTCTGGAAAGCATTGGTTTCATTTTTTGTGGTGCTCTGCTCTCCTAAATAGGTTTAATGGTATAAGTTACTAATTTTCTCCTCCTCTAACGACTGCCGGTCATCAAAGCTTCAGTCTCTTCTCTGCAGCCGTTAGTTCTGTTGGTCTTAACTTGTTGATGGCAGATGGGCGGCTTGTTGCAGAGAAGAGCTCCTGGAGCAGCATGAGTGCATTTACTGAAAAGCCTTTCTGAGAAACGGCACAAGAATGGATTTGCTTATGTGCTGCGACCACACAGAACTGTATATAGGCTGACGTCACCGGGTGACGTGTCTTTTGTTTGGGTTTTCCAGAAGCTTTACTGTTAAAAAGCACGGTGCTTTTTAACAGTATTGGGGTCATTACAAGACCCCCCCACCCTCCAATCCCCACCCCCGATTACAATAAAGTGAGAAAGAAGATCTCCTGGCTTAACATGGTGTTCCTTCAGTGTAGGAAGCGGCAGTGAGGTTGTAATAAAGACTGCATTCAAGAAGATTCCATCTGAACAGTGAGTTGGGCTAGCAGACTGATGATTTTTAATGCGTGTGGGAGCCAGAGACTGCCGATTCTGCATAGAGATAGATCATCTAAATAGACAGAAGCCTGCACGATTGATTTATGAAGTGCTGATTTATTAATACCAGCCTGTGCAAGGTAGTGGTGCTTCTCCGGTAGTTTAAAAAGCTACTCAATTGCTGTGTTGTCATGCTTGGTAAAAATCAAAGTATATCATGGATTAGATGTATTGGTAAACCAAGTAACTTGGCTCCTTTGTCCTTATGAACATAACATCTTAAATCAAAAATAAAGCGTGGAAGAAGGGAAGAGCTTCCCAAAAAAAGGTTTGTTATTTTTTTTTCTTTGAGAATTTCAGTGGAACTCTGGTTTAAAATATTTTTCCTCTTCTGTCCTATTTTATAATAATGGTTTATACAATGCTGATTGAAAAATAATGATGAATTTATTTTTGGATGTTCTGCTAGGAGAAAAGCACGGGTAGAAGTAGTAGTACACATGACCCAGGTGTTAACAGTGGAGCAGATGGTTTTAGACACATAATTCAAGTGTGACTGTCTTCTGACATGGTCCCCTTTATTTACCTCAGAATCTCCCCTACTCTTTAATTGAAAACCTCAGCTGATGCCAAGTTTGGGGCATTGTGGCACTGAAATAACACAGTGCTTGCAAAGTAGCTCCTCTTGGCACTTAGGAACTGACTTTGAATCTCATACTAGCTCTTTTTGCTAGTATATAAGAGACATTTGCTAGTATATAAGAGACATTGTATTTCTTATAAATACAAAGGTCACTCACACTTTGGAATAGGACTGTTGCTTTGTTTACCTTGTTTTTTGCTTGACCTTACTTAAGGTTCTCTCTATCAGAGATTGTATCATCACTTAGTAGTCCTTAGATAGGAATGTACAGCTTGATTTAATATTTTACAAAATGCAAAAGATATTTCTAGCACTAGTTGATGTCATTCTCATGCTTGTCTAAAGTAAGGCTTTTTGCTTATCTCGCCTTACTGATTTGATCCTGAATACGTATGTTTCCTCATACCTTTGTAACTCCCAAGGGCAGAAGTCTCAAAACTACTGATGGTATCTAATAAATAAGAACATATCGGCCTCTGCTTCTGAGGGCTTTATTATATCAGATAAGTCTAAAATGTCATTGTTGAAGCTCGGAGTAGTAGTTTAGCCCTATAGTCCCCACACTTTGGGAGGCTGAGACAGATTACAAATTTGAGGCCAGCCTGGGCAGCACAGCAAGACCCTACCTCAAAATAAAACAAAAGGAGCTGGGGATGTTGCTCACTAATACAGTGCTTGCCTAGCATGTGCAAGGCCCTGGGTTTAATCCATAACACTCTACACATAAAGTATTTATCTAAAGGGGTAAAAGTGTTGTTTTGGAAGACTCTCAGGTTTCCTCCTTAGGACACTATGTAAATGTGCTGTGGAAACTCTAGTAATGAAGGTATATATTTTAAATTCTCCTAAAACTGATGGAAAGATGAGTTTAAAAGTACATGAGTTTTATTGAGGGAAATGCCTGGGAAGTATAAGGGAAAGAGAAAGCAGTAGAAATAGCTGAGGACCATATAGATTCAGCTCAGAAGACATGCAGAATAGGAAAGAAAATTAGATGTGGATAGTCTCAGAGTGCAGTGCTGTTCTTAAATAGTTGCACTGGCTGCAGAAGTCCTGAAGCAAAGTTGCCTATGAGATTCTTTTGCTCGCATATTTAGGAATAAGCCTGCACTAGAACTCCCACAGTATTCCCGCATAGTTTAGGAAGGGAGAAATATAACATTCTGTTTTAGACCCCAAGGTTGCCACTCTCTCACTGACCTAGATCCTTCCTATAATTTTCCTTTTACAAGCTAGATATTCTTTTTGGGGGGAAAAGGGGACATTGAGACAGGCTGTGTAGCCCAGGCTGGCCTCAAACAGGCAGCAATCCTTCTGCCTCATTCTCCCAAGTGTTGGGACTACCAATGTGCACTACCACCCCCAGTTAGGACAGATGGTCTTAACCTGAGTCCATAGATGGGCTTGTGAAATTTTACTGCTTGTTTTATGTTTCTGTGAATTGGGTTTAGTCAGATTCCTATAGTCTGTGGCCCTAGGTTTCAGAAGCACTGTTCTATAGAAACTTGCCCTAATTGGTGGTGGCAGAGGATGGGGGTGGGGTCCTCATAGGATGGTTTCTTTTAGTCTTTTTTTTTTTTTTTTTTTCTTAAAGAGAAGCCCTTGAGGGCCGGGGAGATTTAACTCAGTGGCATAAACTCCTACCTACCTGGCAAGCACAAGGTTGTGAGTTTGATCCCCAGTACCACCCCCCCCCCAAATCCCTTGAGATGTTGTAAATAGCTTATTGAAGATACACTCTGTAGTGAAAAAACCCTTTGCAGTGCAGAAGCCAGATTAAATTCTTCCCTCTACTACTTTAGTACTATGGAGAGAAAAGCAATTAGGAATAGTTATATGTGAAAATTTAAAAGGAAAGGTGTCTCTTCTTCCTTGAACTCTTAGTTCTTTTCTGCTTTGTAATCTCCTTGGCCTGTCTCTTATATACTAGTAAATGGAAATTATCTAAACCATATTATTATAGTGCTAGTATAACAGACTTGTGGGCAAGGAAAATTGCTCAGAAACAATGGAACATTACCATCTTTTTCATCTGTGTCTTTGATTTTTAAGTAAGAGACATGATTTCACTGTATTGCCTAGACTACCATGGGTCATACAGAACTATTTTCTCAGCATAGAATTAAGATGTAAGACATACATTTGTGCTCACTTCAAGAATCTGTTTACTTTAGTGGACTTTCTGACCCACTTGGCTAAAAGGGATAATTTCGTGTATATTGACTCTTGATTGCTGAAGCTTTGCAATTTAATTTTCTCAGAATCTTCTTAATAGGCTCTGGGGTATTAGGCTCCCTGAGGCCTCCCTTTCTCCCCCCAATATCTAGATTGTCAGTGCAAAGGAGATAAAAATTTTGACCCAAAGAAAGCAAGATTATTTCTTTTTCTGAAGAGTTATAGTAGTGTGTCAATATTATATCTGCTTTTCAGATGTTGATAATCTGTTTTGCACTAGACTGGATGAGGACTTGCCACGCCTTGAAGGTGGAGTGGGCTAAGGCTTCTCTCCTGGTTCTGTCCTGATGCTGGTTTCACCTGTCTGTCTGTACAGTTTCTGCCTGTTGTCTGCCTGTGTAATGTGTGTAATGAGTCTGAATTTTGCCTCATATGGCTCTGCTCTAATTTATTGGATGTAATTTTATGAGGTTTTTGCAGACAATGTGAAATAAATATCCTTTTAACATCATTTATCCTTAAAGTTTACATATAAGGTAAAGTCCCAGCAATGAAATCATTGGGTTACAGGGTATATATATTTAAAATTGATAAACATTGCCTTCCTAAAAGTTTTAAACTGTTTTTCCCCAAACCTACTCCTCCCTGCCATTAACACAGTATAGAAAGCCATCAGATATTAAAAATATCTATAAATCTTGATAGATTAAAAAATACTCTTTAATTTGTTTCTTTAGAATAAATAAGAGTCAGCATTTTTTATAGATACTGGTATTTTCTTGTAGACTGTATGTTAGATTTCCTCATTGCTACCCTGTACTCCAAATATTGGTCGTTTTCTTAAAGATTTATGTACTTTTGCTTAACATAAGACATTAACTTTGCCATATATATATATATGTATATATATATATACACACACACACAGATGTTTCTTCATATTTTTTGTTTTTGAATGGTTTTATGGTTTTTCTAAAGGTGGCACTTTCATCTAAGAAAATACCCAAACTATAACACTCTTTTGAGCTATGAGATGAAGTAGAAAAGTGACGCTTATGTAATATTACAATGCCTCATCCATTAAAAAAAAAAAAGTTTGGAATAGGGAGCATTAGGCACACTGGAAACTTTTTTTTTTTTTTTTTTTTTTTTGTAATTTAAGGCTAAGTTTCACTTTAAAAGAAATTTGGGAACAGTGGTCAAGGTAACTATGGTATTTTATGATTATGATAGTAATTGAGTTTTACCAGAGGTTCCCAATGACATGTAAATATTCAGCTTAACGGCAATGCCTATTTTCCTTCTTGCCAGAGGCACAACATTCAGAGTAAAATTGCTTCTCACATTACTCATCAAATGTATAATGCACAACATTGTGTTGTTACGCAGTCCAAACCAAGATGTTTAGTCCTACTTTCAAAAAGACATGGCTTGATTCTTTAACAGGTTTTCCAAAAACTTTCTCAAGATTTTCATTAAAGTCTTTATTCTTTCCTGAAGTCTTCTCTAGCTTATCATTAGCTTCTAGGTCACCACTTTTCTGAAGTTCTATACTTCACGCTTTAACTCAAGACCCCTACTACTGTGCTGTTGACAGCCTCCACATTACCATTTGGTACCTGGAGGTAAAGATGATGCTCTATTCCTTCCTGGGAAGGAGGCGTCAGATGTCCATTCTGACACAGGTGTGCGTGGATGCATGCATGTGTGAGTGTATGTATGTCAGTTTTCACTGGGAATTGAACCTTGTGGCCTTTGTATTGAGCTATATCTCCAGCCCTTTTTGTTTTTTATTTTGAGATATAGTCTCATTAAACTGCTAAATTGCCCAGGGTGGGCTTGAACTTGCAACTACCTTTGGCATCCCACAGTGTTGAATTTATAGGCATGAGCTACCACGTCTGGCAAAGACTCAGGTCTTGTAAAATGCTATTTTGATTTAATTTTATTTTTCTGATGGCTGATAGAGTAATTGTATTTAATTTCTGTGAAATTAAAGGAGACTTACTGTCTTCTTTT